GTGGACTAGTGGTTAAAATTGAATATAATAAAAATTAATTGAATTTAATAAAAATTTGAAGCGGCATATGCGGGCGGGAAACGGGAAACTATATATACTAATCTAATTGGAGTGGCCTAATGATCATCAGTAAAAATAATATTAATAAATATAAATAAATAAAAATAAATCAACAATCAAGGAAAATGGGAATTAAGATAACAATGACAGCAAATAAAATCAGAAATAAAAATGATAGAGTTAAAGTGGACTTAGAAGACAGATGGGAGTAGAGCCTTGTTCCCAGCATTAGTCAGGGGGATTCATGGCTTCCCTATATTTTAACAATACTGAAAAGAATATAATCATTTAATTGCACAGTTACTCAGTAGTTTGTTCTATGTCCTTACTAGCTCCATGTCAGTCCTCAGTTCAGTATTCCATGAAAATAGTTGAAGCCCCAATCCGGGGCAGCCCGGTTTTACCCCGCAATTTCGGTAGGGTCTCAAAAGCGGACGGACGGACGGACTGATGCGGGCCCGACAGGACCATAAATATCCATGTGAAGGACAATCATTCGTGGATGTTAGCGAAAATGTAACTTTATCAATGAAAAATTGCTACTACAGGCTGCATAAAGCATCACAATACTGAACCATCACTTGAATTCTATTTGTCATTCTTAACTTAGGAGTTCAGTGACACAATTTTATGATTTTAATGATTTTTCTATATTATTTGGTGTAAGTCTAATAATAAACATAGTGAAATTTTATGATTAATTTTTATCAGCTATTGCATGCAACACTATACTGAGATACTGATTTCATTTAATTACACAATTAAAATTATAATAGTTCGATATCCTTGAAATCACTGCTCTTTAAAACAACAAAACATTAATTCAAATAAAATTTTGATTCATACCAGCACTTGCTTGTTTTGTCACAGTAAAATATTTTTCAATAGAATCAAAATTTAAAAATATGAGTCTTAATAACCTATACAAATCTGCTATTAACATTGTAGACATTTAAATTTTTAAAGAACTTACAATTAAAATCTAGTGGCTTTTGACATGACAAGGCATTACATAGATTCAACTTCACTTACATCATACTATCCTAATTTTATAGTGTTAAAACATAGATATTATTTGTACAGCTGTGATGAAATAACTTACATAAAAGTATCAGTCAACAGTCTCATCAGGTTGATTGCAACCAATTTACTAAAGATTGCTGTTGGTAATACACAAAACATAATTAGTACTCTAAAAAATTGCAGTTTTTATTTAATAATAGTCATCCTATATAGTCTACATTGTATTCCTGCTTATATTCACTGTAAATGGTAATTTCTCTGAATATATTGATTAAAGATATAGACTTGGACCAAGTAATAAAGAAAAATCATTAAAATGGTGTCACTGAACTCCTGTTAAGAATAACAAATAGAATTCAAGTGATGGTTCAGTATTGTGATGCTTCATGCAGCCTGTAATAGCAATTTTGCATTGATAAAGTAAAATTTTCGCTAACATGACCTCTTCTATTGGTCCTAGCATAGTTAATACGTACATAAATTTATTGTCCAAGTATAGAAGTGTTTTAAAGACAGACTATCCATGAATAATTGTCCTTTACATGGCTATTTATGGTCCTGTCGGGTCCGCATCAGTCCGTCCGTCCGTCCTTTTCGGGCGGGGCGGGTCCGTCCGTCCGTCCGCTTTTGAGACCCTACCCGCAATTTCCCGTGCCCGAGCCCCTCCCGAGCCCGGTTTTACCAACCCCCATATGCCATCTTTGAATGAGCCACGCCCTTATCTAGCCCCACCCTAACTTTTTTGCAAAAGGGGCGAGATTACCAATGGCAACAAATAACTGTTCTTCTCCTTCTTCCTTCTCTTCTCCTTTGACTATTGGTAGGTAATATCCATTGTAAGTACTAGATCTATAATGATTATTATTTAGAGC